AGTCCCGAATACGTCCCGGATGGAATGTCTCATCGGTCGTATCCCGTTAACACGTGCAGGACACGTATCTTCGCGACACGTAAAATATTTCTTCCGAGATCGCAAAGAGATATGGAGGGAAAGCCAACCGTACTTCGTATGTAAAGCTTATTTTAAACGATCTATATTTTACGAGAATGATCAATCTGATAGATATCGCTTATTAGGAACACTTAATTATTAGAACATTGTAAATTTGGTATCTTTAATTTACAAATATGTACTCTATTATACGTTATACATATATTAAAATATTATACATACATACATTAAAATATTCGAATTATTATATATAATATATATAATATATAATGATTATATAACAATTTTTTAATAAAATGAAATAGTTACAATTCTCTTTGTTACAATAATATTTTCTCCACGTGAGAGACATTTTATTTATTTCGAAATTTAATATACTCGAATAGTTGAACACAACGGGACATCTCTTTATGCAACCAGTCATATCGGAACGTACGGCATGTGCCGCACACAAAGCGGTGGATCGACTGTAATGCGACTGAAGGAAATCTAAGTCGCAGTGAAATATAGAGAGAGCAAGAGAGATTGAAAAATCGAATAAGAAATTAAAGAAGAAAATGCTGCGAAACAACGAGAAATAGAAGACATGAAGCAGGATCGTCAGAACATTGGACGTTGCTGCGTGGTGGTTTCGTATCGATTATCTTGTAGCCGGCTTTTCTGCCGTTTCCATCACAGGCCGTGTAGTTTCTCGCCCTTCTAGGCTCAAGGCAAGATTACCGGAGGAAAAATGCAAAGGCGATTTCCTGTATCGAGGCGAATTAAAGTTGTCACAGCTGTTACAAGCATTTCTCTCGAGTGGAGATTTTATTTAATTTTTTTTTCTGTAAAAATCGAATTCAATTCTTAACCGTAGAGTGATAAAGATATATCATATAACTAGAGCATCCTACTCCCCTTTTCACTAAAAATAGCTACTCTGTTAAAAGCAGTTTACAACAGAATGAACGCAGCGAGCGAATACCAAGAAAACAAATAGAAGTACATTAAAACAAAAAGAAAATTTAAAACAAAAAGAAAATAAAAAATAAGTTCATCGAACACCAAAAAAGTACAAAGTGAAATACATTGAATTTTTTCTTAAGCTACACCTAAGAGAATCGTCAAACAAAATATTTTTCTAATACAGGCAAGAATAAAATCTACAAGAAATTCATATATTTCACAGAACATCTCTGAAATTATACGGAAAAGTCTTTTATAAGATGTAAACTGCGTTCTGTCCACAAACGACGGCGTAAATAAAATTGCGGCAATCAGAAACTTTGCATTTTGTCGGCTATTTGTATTCCGCTAACTTTCCTGATATTTGCATTGTGGCCTTCGTTTCTATGGGCTCACTTTGCTTCACACCCTTCGAACTTCGAGGGACGTCAATTTACGCAATTATTGGTTTTATTACCTCAAGTACGCGACTTACTCAAGTATGGAATTTATAAAAACATTTGCATCAATCCTTTTAAAAGGTATTTCTTTTTGAATGTGGAATCATTTCAATAACACATTTTTCTTCAATATTTATACTACATTCTTGAATACATGTCAAAATTTTAGAAAATTATCTTTAAAAAAGAGATAGAAAATATAAAGTTAATTTAATTCTTTAATATTATATCATGTTCAATAAAAATAGGCGTATATTTTTGTAGTATGTAATTTAAGTGTATTTGTGTATTTTAACATCACTATACTAATTTACATTTCTTTTACATTTCGGCATATTTTTAGACAAAGAGTTTTCAATAATATAAAACATGTATTTAAGTAATGACAGAATTAATTGCAAGTAAAAAAATTTAATACAGAAAATTATGCAATACTGTGCAATATTTTTTATTTTATGATTAATATTATTATCATATTATATTATTACATAATTTTTTCATCTAATACGATTATACATATAAGTTCAATAGTTAGTCGCTTAATAAACTTGTTTGAGGTATCAGTGCAGAATATAATAGTGACAATGTTCCAGCATTCTCCATTCAACGTTGACTTTATGCATGCTACGTCTAACATCTATTGTATATTATGACTTCCAAAGTGCCGTTGTGAAAAGCACTAGAATACATATGGTACCTATATACATTACATGTTATATTTGAGTCATGTTACGAATACCTAACATATTTAGATATATATAAATTCTTGGACCAATTTCGAACAGCGTAAGCGCTGTAAACATACACAGATATTAATTATATCATTATACTTCAAATTAATATCGCATTCAAAATAATTGAAAGAATTAAATTTAAAATTTAAGAAGTAAATTATATCTCTACTGTAACAAAAAAATTCCAAATAAATGCAAAAGCACAAAATTTTTCGAAAATTTAAATAAAGAAATCAAAATGATTTAATTGTTACTACAGGATATAAAAATATCGAAAAAATCTTTTACATGTAAATTTTTTAACTGACGGTACACAAAGAATTTTAAGAGAGCTGCTATTCAGCTGAATAGCAGCAGTGAAAAGAGTTGGCGTTTGGACGATCGACCAGTCTGCAGAAAAACGCGGTTTAAGTTAACGTTCAGTTTAAAGTAGCTGCTTTCAACGAGACGTCTCATTACCGACGTCTCGCAAAAACATGAACAAAAAATTGTCGTTCCGCTTTTTCTCGAAGTTCACTTTGTTGTTAACTCTCACCAAATTTAGCTGAAAATTTATAATTATATACTTCATATAGAAAGAGATATCTCTCTTTTATCTTAAATCTGTATTACGTTTGTCGGATAAAGAATCACAATTTCTCTGACATTATATTTTTCTGCTTTTTTAATTTTTTCACTTTAAAATTATTTCTTAAATTATTAACAATAAAATCTATTTATTTAAAAAAATTTTTTTTATAATGCATCGACTAGATTAACAATGTATAGCTCTGAACTAGATCACAGATTTATTGCTACTGTATCAGTAACAATATGTTATAAAGTAAGTTCTCGTAATCTCCTCACAATTTTTTCAAGAAAAGCCTAACATGTTCGATGTGTGCATTGACCACAAAAAGAGACGCCGTAATGTCTCTTTTTAATCTCGAAGATGTTCCCGATATTTTCTCAATAATTTTGTGAAATCAGGTCAATCTATGAGCAAAAAACTCAACGCTAATGTAATCTTTGATCCATTATCGAATATCTCTTAAATATTCATTCATATATTTAATGCAATTTTATGCCATTTCTTTTGTGTATATCTTCATAATAAATCTGAAGATCATTAAAGTTGGAGAGAAATAATTGGGAACGTTTTCTCAGACAAACTGAGAAAGCAGTATTGAGCGAA